TATAAATAGCTTTGTATGTTTTTAGTATATTACTTTGTATTTGTTGAGTGAGCGGATGCCAGTGGATGGAATAGGCAGAGAGGGGTGGGAGACACAGATCGGTTGGTAAGGTGGATGAGTCTGACAGCAGCATTTATGATAGACTGAATGGGGCATTCTTTGTGTAGAGGGCAGCCAATTAGTATCTTGGCGGTGCCATTGGTTAAGAAGAGGTGTACTAACGGTATCAAAAAAAATAGCAGAGATGCCGATGACACCCAGTCAGCTGCAGCCAGGCAATTCCCCGTCTGCAGCTGCACATATCAAAGAGTGGGGATGCAGTGACCTCATTGAATTTATAAGGTTACATGGCTATATTAGGTAGATGATATTTACCTAATACGGTCATGTGGCCATGTAAGGTAAATTACATCAGCACGAGCATTCCACCCCTTTGCTTAAGGACTTGCTCCCCCGGCAGCTGATTGGGAAAGAGGCTCATGTAGCTTCCGTGTCTGGAGGAGTTCAGGTTTGGTCCAAACCTAAGCTCATCCTTACTTGCTACTCACAGTCCTTTCCAATTATATTTCCTGGAGCTCTCCTTTAAATGCTTAAAGGAGAACTATGAGGTGAGTGCTTTTCACTCACCTCATAGTTCTAGCCGACCTGTGACAATGAGACTGTCACAGGTCGGCTCAGTAGATCGGGAGGTGAGCGAACACATACCGGCGTTCGCTCACCTCTCGATCCTGTCACGGCTCTCTGCCGTGACAGGGGAGGGGCTGGATTCCCCCCTCCGTCAGCGCTGACTGGCGGAACAGACAGGGGACGGGGTGGGTACAGCTGGCTCTGCCTCTAGATAGGCAGAGCCAGCTGTCAGTCACGCAGCTGGGCAGATCCCGGCACAATTGTCGGGATCCGCTTCAGCTGCGGCGTCTCAGTATACCGCGATATACTGATCCTAGGGTGACGGGACGACGCTAGTTTGTGTCCTCCCGTTACCCTAAGGAGAACTATGGGGAAAAGCCTTAACCCCATAGTTCTCCTTTAACAGAATGGGCTGTGCAGGTTACAAAAAACTTAGTGTGTCTCTAGGCAAAACCTTTTTTTTCAGTTTTTGGATAGATTGGGGAAAAGCTAATGTTTTTATTGGTGTCTGTTTACCTTGTGGGGAGATCCCCCCATCAATCTCTACTGATGCCCATTGCCCCTGAGACAAAGTGAGGGGAAATCCAAAATGTTAGAGTTGTCCATAAAACAAGAAGTAAGTGGAGTTCTTCTAATGGGGACACCTGTTTCAGGCACAACTGTGTAAAAGGGTAGTTTTTCCCTCACTTTGGAACATTTCCTCTAACTTCATGTTGTATCTCTGGGTTTCATCTTTAATGGGTCACATTTTAATATTATTTAATTTGTTTTTGGCAGACAAAAATAGATAACGAGCCAATTGCAAGATGTGAAAGCTTAATTCTAGTCCTCAACAATCTATCATGTGCCTGACTTTCAGAGGAAACCTGGTAGTCATAGACCTGGGACTTTCCAAGCACAGCAGTGTCTGTTTAATCCCAATGTCCTGAAGTTCCTACATCTCCCTTCTTCTGCCAGAGGATTCACCATGGAAGTTGAAATAAAGCTGGAAGTGAGAAGTAGGGTTCACTGATCACCTCTGCATTCTTTGTCCACTGCTCATCTCTGCACCCCCTCATCCACCACTGATAACCTCTGCACCTTTCATCCACCACCGCTCCCTTCTGCCCCACACCCTTCTTCCACTACTTCTCACATCTGTATCCCCTTAAAACCTCCTTCACCTCCTTTGACCACTGCAACCCCTTCCACCATTGCTTCCCCTTTCACCACTGCAACTCCCTCCACCTTTGTGCCCCCTTCGACCACTGCAACCTCTTCCATATCGGCAACCCCTTTCACACCCTTTCATCATCGCAACCCCTTCCACCTCTGCAACCCTCCACCTGTGCACTCCTTTTCACCCTTGCATTTCCTACCACCATTGTGAACACCTCACGTGAATGGTTAAAGATGCAGTGCAGATGCCTTGGGTGCCAGCGCTGCCTAGGGCCTATCTGCTACACTATGGATGCTCTGGGGCCAGTTTGGACCCGCTTTTTCCCTCTCTGTATCTACGCTCTATCCAGGGAAAGCTAAGCAGGCACCAGGGATATGCATTGTTGTCATGATTGTGTGTTCAGGCTCTGTGTCCTCATTGTCAAGTTATTGTCTTGGTACACACTCACACAGTTTTCCACCCACTTCAGATTTATTTTATGCTTGGTTGTGTTTTTCCTTCTCAGTCTTATTTAATGATAATTACTACTGCCCCAGGCCTCTGATAGCAGGTACAGCCACAACACTTGGAATGTAAAAAGGGGGTAAAGGAAGGTGTTTATAATTAGAGTGAGGGAGACAATTAAATAGACATGTTGCTTTGCCCTGCATGGGGCATAAAATCACAGGTTCAGTTTAAGCCCTGGTTCACACCTAGGCGTATTGCATATGCGCGTCTGTCGCACGTTTTTTTTACCGCGATTCGCGGTAAAAAAAATCGCGCGACAAACGTGCGTTTTCAAGGGCTACTTGGCTGTATCCCAATGGAAACGCGCAACAAAAACGGCCCAAAGTAGTACATGTACCTTTTCAGGCGTGGGCCGTTTTGTAGCGCGTTAGGGACGGGCTGAAATACGCCAAGGTGTGAACCACACCCATTGAATACAATGGGATTTAGATGTTTGAGCGTTTTGTAGAGCGTTCGTAGAGCGTAGAACGCGCTACAAAACGTTCAGGTGTGAACGAGGGCTAAAGG